TCTTCAAGGATGTATTTGCTACTCTAGGCATTGATGATGCCCCGATGATTGCTATTGCCAACTCTAATCGGCTACCTCGGAGAGGAGCGGCAGACCAGACCCTCCAGCGTGGAATCGTCCCCATCATTGCGCGGTCTGCTACATGGAAAACGGAAACGCCATACTAGCTGCATTCGACAACCAGCAGAGGAACCGCACGAAGGCAACCGCCTCTCCAGGCAAGGCCCGACCCCAATCGCGGCTTACAAAGACTCAACAGTGTTTCTAAAACACCAACCAGATGTCATCCACTGGAATAATGTAGGCCTACACATCATTAAAAAAAGAAGAGTACAGAAGTGTCTTCATGAAGAAACAAGTAAAAGGATGATACTGGTACAATTTGTATTCAAAAGTGTCAAAGTATACTCAATATACTTTATCAGTGCTCGAAAATTAAACTTATATCTCTACAGATATGGACTTCAAAAAGGCTATACCTCGCAAATTCATTGACTTTGTTAGAGAAGCAAAAAAGGCTGCAGAGAGTGGGTCATCATCATTCAATGAAACAGGAATCTATTAAAGGAAGCAGTGAAGGTAAAACGAATGTTAAGAAACATCAAAAGTGGCACGAGGCATGTGGCGGTGCTAGCGGAGAGCATAGCAGGCAGGTTTGGGCAAAGAAGGCTTCTTGGAACTTCAGGAGTCCTCAATTATCAAGGACGCGATATAAAGCTCGGTGGTGCTGGAGTGATTATAGAAATGGACGAGTGTAAGATTGGAAAATGGAAATTCCATAAGGGGGCACCATGTTGAATGCCAGTGGGTGTTTGGCAGTATACAGCGTGATTCAAGGCAGAGCTTTCTTCATAGTGCACCAATCCACGTGCTAACATCAGTAGTCAAGGATCTTTTATGATGGGCAACACAACCAGGACCAGTTGCCCACCTCCTGGCCACTCTCAACACGGGGAACGGCATGATAGAGAGACTCGTCATACATTTGCCAGATTGCCTGCGACAGTTTCCAAGCGATACACGAGAGGCACGCCGTCGTCTCCTTCACTCTGGATCGCCGACAATAACACATGTGCTCCAGGTTGTTGAAAACCTTCACGAGAAAGGAGTACAATACTCCTTCACCAAAGAATGTGAAGAAGAACTGGATAAACAAAACGAACAGTACAGTGTACATCGAATCCATAAACTAGGCCATTGTTGAGGGATTGCATCACCACAGACCAAGAAATATCGGAACGCGACGGGATGCTCATCAGCAGTGAGATACACAACATCTTACACAAAATGGTGAAAAATGATGGAGAAAATGCAAGTGGCGACATTGCCACACTCTGTCACCTTTTCAGTAGTGAAAAGGTGGAAACAACCTATGCCACACAAAAGAGCAGAAACATTGATGTTGGAGGTGCCTTTTGCATTTTAGGATGCACTTAACCTGCCCCTGTTGCACATTTGTTCATGGGACTTGATTTTGGCAATGGGGCGATTGAAAGAATCATCTTTCACGTACCGGATTGCCTTCGCCCTAAACCGTCAGCCACAGAGAGAGCACGAGAAGACCTTCAAGATAAACCATCCCTAACACACATCTTACAAGTAATCGAACAACTTCATGAAGCACAGCCGACCTACACCTTTGATGATGAATGCATAGACGAGCTCGAGAAGATAGAAGAGCAATACATTGACGCGATTAACAGCCCAATTGTCTTTGGTTGAAAAGTAGAATCAGATTGTATAACAAACGTCAGGATTTTCTGCATGGTGTTGTCTGTTTGAAGGATGATATGGAGAAGTTATACGAGTTACAGTGATTGACTATGGTCTGTTTGCATTTATGTGCGAGTGTTCCCGTAGACTGTGTGTGTGTAGTTGTGTGTCTATGTATCACATGTGCAGACACTACCCAAGAGAAAACGCAACCCAATGAACAAAACCTGGCATACGCAATAATCAAGACTCCAGGACCAGTAATAACGTACAGGGCATTTAAGACTGCCTGTACAAAGAGTATCAGAAGCGTAAGTTTGATGGAATAGCAGCGAGCAATCAATATTCTCCAAGACCTAGGAGAAGTTGTGCAAATAAGAGCAGAGCATGGAAACAAAGACTCAACAGTGTTTCTAAAACACCAACCAGATGACATCAACTGGAATAATGTAGGCCTACACATCATCAAAAAAGAATACAGAAGTGTCTTCATGAAGAAACAACCAGCGTGTGTAACACCAAAAATATACAAGTCAAAGCGCCCTCAAGCATTTCAGAGATGAAAGATTGCTAGGATCACCTGAAGTCACTAAGGTGGTCCTTTTTAGTGATTCTTGTGTAGGCCAAAACAAGAACTGTATTGTCCTTGGCATACAAGCAGCTCTGATTGATACAGGAAAATGCACAGCAGAAATCTTCTAAAAATTAAATCATCTCTTCATTTGCAAAATATCTTAGGGTTTTAGAAAAGTTGAAGGCAAAGTGCAGACCTAAAACTGATGGAAAAGTCCAGCTTGGAAAAATTTGCCGCTATGCTGAAGGTTAAGTATTCAGAAGCAGAAAAATAAAAATTGCCTTCGTCTGCTCTTTCCACCAACAATGGAGAAATAAAAATTGTATGACGTGCTCCTCCCATCTTTCCATCAACAGCGGAGGAATGAAAATTTTGTGATGTGTCCCTCCCCTCTTCCTATCAAACGTGGGAAATAATTATTCTGGGAAGCGAAGTACAGACCTAAAACTGATGGAAAATACTTGTCCAAAATTTGTTGCAATGCTGAAGGTTGAGTATGCAGAAGTAAAAAAAAGCTTCAGATTTCTGAAAGATATATTAAGCGAATGGAAGGGCTCCTTATTCCATTGTCAAAGAAAAAAAGCATGGACATCAAGGAAAGAGAGGCTGAATTAAAAGATAAAATGGGTGGCGTGAAAAAAGAGGTCGCCAGTCTTAAAACATGCATGGACAACATGGATTATATCCTGACACAGATACTCAAGACTGTTAAGTCTTTGGAAGTTTCCAAGCTCTCCCAGGCCCACTCTCCATCTCCCAGACCACGAGGCTGTTTAAATTGTGGTCAGTTTGGCCATTTTCTCTGGGATTGCAAGGTCAAAGGACCTTCTGTGTCTTTCGCAGCTACTGAGGATTCGGGAAACCTGGAGGGATTGAAGAGTGAGGCGATCTCTGATCTGTGGAAGAGGAGGCCTACGATCAGTGAGTACTTGTGCAATTAATGTTAGTGACCCGCCTGACTCTTCGGTCGGTCCCCTTGACAAGATGCCGGGTATGGATATGTTGTCTGTCCAAGCTCAGGGAGGGGACCCCCCAGATGTATTGGAAGGTGAGTGTTTGTTTATTGCAGAGCTTTTTAAAGGATATGCAGATACTCTGAACCCTGTGGAGGCAGTAGTGGTAAATAAAATAAGTAGCAGTTCCATGTTATATGTGCCGATCTAGAGATGACAATCCTCCATGAATTCCACAATGATGATGAAGACGACCTTGATGAATTGTTGGGACGATATTCTGAGTCAGATTCTGACTCAGACGTGGAAATGCCCGATGCCGAGTCTGAGGTCGATGAGCCACCCTTACTTCCGAATCGACCTTTGAGACTTCGACGACTAGTTGTGAAAGACATTGATTCAACTTTGGATCCAGACACTTAGGACAAGTGGAATCCACCAATTGAGGTGAAGACATACTCTGTCGAAAACAAAAAATGTCTGAGGAAAAAAAGGTTGATTGGAAAAACCAGCCTCCAGCTCAAAGAGGAAGGCAGAATACTGCAAACATTCTAACAGGAACCCTTCGAGTCAACCGCACTGCAAGAAACTCAGTCCTCCTTGGAGGGGGCCGGCCCAGATTGTAAAGTGTCTATCCCCCTATCTTTACCGGGTTAGATTTATTTAGGAAGGCCTTAATGGTGCTTAAACATGATAGGTTGAAATAATGTCGAGATCGAGCCTTGCCGATTGTTGGAGGATCATGGCTCAACAAGGTGGTTTATTGCCTTTGTACGAAGCCGGAAGATGGTTGCCTTAAATGATCAAGTGCGACAGGTGCCTGGAATGGTATCATGGGGCCTGTGTCAATATCTTGCCAGCATGACGCGGTGGCTGTAGTAACCTATGTTTGCCCCGTGTGCAGAGCATCAGGAGAAGTTAGATCTTATTTTGTTTAATTGTTTTCAAAGATCTGAAAGATTATGAAGATCTGAATTAGTTTTGTTGGATAGTGCAGTAGAGCACTTCTTAAATACTTGACTTGTTCATGTCAGCTGGTAACGATGTTCGCTTTTTCAAAAATACAGATGATACCGCAATCTTGGGAATGATCAGAGGTGATGAAAATAACTATCGTTCAAATATAGAGCGGTTTATTAAATGGAGTTATGATAATTACCTTCAACTAAAATCAGTCTAAAACGAAAGAAATCATTGTTGACTTTAGAGTTGCTACACAACAACGCAAACTAGTGAAGATCAAAACATTGAAATTGCTCCAAAATACAAATATCTGGGCACAACGATCGATAATAAACTCACCTGGCATAATTAGTGTACATCCATTGTGGCAAGGTCCCAAACGAGAATGTTCTATCTTAGGAAACTGAGCTCTCAGTTTCTAATTTTACATCTGTTTCGAGACTTTTTAAGGGCATAAATCGCATAGCATAGGATGGGTCCAAGTCTTAAATATAACTTAACAATGTAAGTAACTTTTTTTCTTCAACAATGAACTATCAAAATGTAAATTCTGTAGATTTGTGACGTCCCTTGAGAGACCAATGGTGAGAGCAACCATTGGCATGAATGGCCTGCCATAGTTCAAGTCCTACTTATTAAAGTCGATCTTAGTCTTTGTGAAACACTCCCCAGGCCAACAGTGAAACCTGTACATAAAGACCACTCAAGGGAAACATGAAAAGTGGTCTTTATAGGCAGGTGGGCTTTATGTACAGGTTCCTTTAGTACAGGTACCAATGAGAAACCATAAAGGGAAACAAAAAATGTAGTCTTTATAGACAGGTGATCTTTCTATACAGGTGGTCACTAAAGCAGGTTTGACTGTATTTACATTATAATATAAATTATTTATACTATGCACTTTCTGATATAGTACCACTCAACGTGCTACAATGTAACTCGATTGTTAACTGAACAAGACAAAACAAAACTAAACAAAACAATGTCACACATGTAAAAATAACTTACATAGTAGCTCTGGGTAAAAAGGAGCTGCTTGATCTCATTTGAAAATGTACATTAGCTAAAATGGCTGAAAACAAGCTGTTTGTAGTCAGTTTGGCAGTGTGACTGAGGTATCCAGGAGGTACTGGGTTATGGAGGATGACCGATTTGTGCTCTTCCTTAGTTGTGCACTGAGTTATATAAAAATACTGACTGCTTTGAGGGGCAAGGTTACCCAAGTTGATCTCAAAATTGTATCGACTACTGTGACCAGTGGCTATTTTTACTTGAAAAAACCATTGTGAATCTTAGAAATTTAGTCTTGTGGCTATTGTGCTTCAGTTATTTTGCTGCTTGTAACTTCCGCAAATCTGGCCCCCATTTCATAAAACATTGTTATTGATAACAAATGCTAAATTTCTACGATGAATTTGGTCTCGGCCAATCAAACGCCATGTTTTCAGTAGCTTATAAGCAGCTATCAGTGTAACAATGCTTTCTTAAAATGAAAATAGCCACTGGTGAGAGTTTCTGGTCTTCCCGTATCAAAGCACAGTGATCATAATGTATGCATACATGATGGTAACTATTGATTAATACAGCCTCTTCTTTTCCCCATTTGCTCCATCTTGCCTTTCTGTCATATGTAAACGGGGCTTCACATGACTCCACGCTGTGTAGACCTGTATTAATCTTGGCATGTTGATGGCGCTGTACATCCACCTCAGCGCCACACATTTGTTTTCTGAGATGATTTATTTGGGTTTCCCGTATTGTCTCGACCTCCATCAATGACTGGTCTCTGCCTGTTGGGGGCAGCCTTCAATCCAGCCTTGAGAGGACCAGTCTGTTTCTGTCGATCGATACAAACCAATAATGTAGAGATTGGAATAGGCCCATTTAAGGCTATCATGAATAAATATACAGTCAAACCTGTCTATAAGGCTACTCAAGGGAAACAAAAAGGTGACAGGTTCTACAACATACATTTCTTTCTTAAGAGAGACAAAATACATGGCCACTATATACAGGTGGTCTTTATAGAGTGGTGGCTACTAAGACAGGTTTGACTGTACAAATATTGCAATTTACTTGATGAAAGTATAAAGTTCATAGCTCTACTACTGCCTGATCATGTAGACAATTTTGGTAAATATTCAATTCTAAATATTTTGAACATAAAGGGCTCAAAGGTCCCTTATCTTGGACCATGGACTTGCCATATGTTATTTTTTTCCTTTCTCACGTGTTAGACATCATTTATAGATATTTTTCACTTTTACTTAGGCTTTGGTTTCAACTTTGGTTTATACAAACATTACTTTACAGTGTACGCTTATAAATATAATTCATATGCATTGTATACCACTTATTATGACAGTGTACTGTACATGTAGTTAATACATGTACCAGTAATTTCACTGCCCAAATTGGCATATATGTCATTTTTGTTTGCTTTTTGGTTTATATATATTTAGTTCTTACCGGTTTCTTTACTTTTCAAGATTTGGATATTCTAAGCAGATGCAAATATATTCCTGAAGATCTTTAAGAAATAAGAAAATAACTACTATTTAAGATGAATTCTTCTTAGTAACAGGTGTCGCTACCTTGGTCTTGTCTTTGTTAACAGGGCCTTTGCTCGTTGCAGATGCCTGTCTACTGGTCATCATTGAAGCAGCTCTACCATCGTCCAGTCTCCCAGGCTGAGGATGCTCCATTGTAACATAGGATATACCACTGTGTAGCCTCTCTCTCTCAACCACTGTCTTACCTGCAGAGTGACAGCACACTCATAAGTGAAATTCAATTCATGACAAAAGTAAACTGGGAATTAAAGACATGTAGAAGTGGGCTCTCATGGGGAATTTGACACCATTTAGGTGTTTACCCAATAACAGGTGTTGTCAATCACCAGGATTAGCCTTCAGTTTTATGACCAACAGGCTAAATGCTCTGCCTTTTCCACCCATTCCCCCATATGGGAGGTTATTTCCATTACCCAAGGACTTTCCAAGAGACTGCAGAGTATTTCTTGATTGGACTATGGTTTTGCTGTGTCTAGACTTGTACACACATTAATGGTTTTGCCACCAAGTCTGGTGTCAGCGAATAATTACCTTCATATGTTTTGTTGAAAGTGACACAGCCTTTATGAAATACCTTGTGAATACCTCAAAATGTGTAGGTGTCAACATTGAACTGTGGTTTCCTCATACTCTTTCATAAGGAGTGCAGTGAGTTTGAAGGTACTTGGACTATACTCAGTTTAGAGCATTTTTTCCCTCACTCATTTACATGAAATATAAAGGAAGGAGCAATTCGGAGTATAACATGGAATTAACATAAAAAATAAAAATAAATGAAATTCAATGGAAACAGAATATGATTGTTGACAAGAGCTTTTATAAGTTTACAAATAAAGTGTATTTACGATTCTCAAAGATATATATATATTTTTTTTTTTTTGGGGGGGGGGGGGAGGGAGAATCTGGTCCATTTGGCCTGTCAAAGTTCTTTGTTTTCAGCATTACTCATTTTGGGTTTTCAAAATGGGCAAATGAACATCTATTTAAATTGTTTTAAAATATCAATACACAGTACTCTGTACACAGTCACACCAAGAGTGATCATATTCAATACAAACATCAAAATTCGAAAGATTTAGGTTAATTACCTGTCAGTGATGTGAAGCTGGCTTGGGAAGGATTGGTTTGTTGGGCTGATCCTGGGGATTGTTCTAATAGCTGTCAAGCAAAGAACATGTCAATGAAATTAGAGGCATAAAAAGTTATATCACAAATCTACAAACAACTTGATCAATATGAGTCATTTCAAAGGTGCTCTGTAATATTATGTTTCAAACATCACATAAAGTCCCAAATATCACTGACTCCCAATTTTTTTGGGGGCTGTTCATGAAAACAATGCCCTTGGGCAAGTCCAGGATAAATATAAATTATGTATAACAGAGTATCATTGATATAAAATATATTTGTTTAAATGACATTGAAAGAATCTAAATACATGATATGAACATATTTTCAGAGATAAAGGGCAGCTGCCAGTATCAGGCAATCCATATTTTTCATCAATACATATGGTTTAAAACTTGGACTTTCTCCTTCTTACCCCCATCCATCTTGTTTTAAACAGAGCTTGTTAGTTTTAAGCCTGACGCACACTACACGATTATCCTGCGGGTCCAATGTTCGTAGAAAGGGCAGTTATATTAGATATCAAAATTTAAACAACCACTATCCGCCTAATTTACATTCTAAATAATGATAAAGTTAGTGCATTTAACTCTTCTAGTAAGAATAAAAATCAGAATCGGCTTCAAATCTTAGACAATCGCACGACTGGCCTGATGTCACTACGATTATGCGCCGGTTTAGCTTTCCCACTTCCAAGGGAACATGAAATCCCTTGAAATTTATATTTTATTAATCAACTATTCAGGTCATTAATATTTTACACGTTTAAGTGTTCATATAAAATGCTATCACAAATTCATCCAAGATTGGATCGTGGTCCAATCGTGTAGTGTGCGCCCGGCTTTACATTCATAGGAAGTGGCTTGTTGTTATACAGTCAAACCTGCTTTAGTGACCACCTGTCTACAAAGACCACATTTGTTGTTTCCTTGAAAATGGTTTCTCATTGAATCATGTACTGAAGGAGCCTGTCTACAAAGACCACCTGTTTACAAAGGCCACTTTTTCTGTTTCCCTTGGGCTGTCGCTATAGACAGGTTTGACTGTAACAGCAGTCATGCAAACCTTGCTACTATGGGTGGCCACATGAATGTCATTAGGACAGAGGGATGAATTGGAATTGGTTTGTCTTCATCAGCTTGAGATTGCCAAATAGCCTGTTACTTCTGATTTAGGAAATAAGCCAGAAGTTACAAATCACGTATTCATCAGCTCGAGACTCGACCTCGAAACTTGAGCTTGAGAAATTAGCTCAAGATATTTTGCTCAGCATTTTGCGCATGGTGCGAGTCTTCAGGCTGGTGAAGACGCACCGGACAAATAGCGGGATATTTTCCAAACTAGCCCAAGATATCCTGGGATGAATATCTCGACCACATCTCCCTCTAATTGCAACTGCAGGCTGACGAAGACTCAAATTAGCTGGATAATTTGCGATCGTGATAGTTAAAATAGCGGGTTATTTGGCAATCTTGAGCTGATGAAGAAAGGCCTTTGGAGAAGCCTGTACTATCAGCATAGTAACTGACCTTGGCAATGTATTTCTGTAGGGCGACCTCTCTCCAATCTCCTTGCGTTGATGAGACAGGGCTAACAAAGGAAAATATAATCAAAGAAACATAAAATCATTAGTGGATAGAATTAAATCAAAAGAGGAAATTAGAATCCATTAACAAAAAAATTCCTCTGTTGAAAAAAAAAAAAAGTGGTTTTAAACACTACGGCCCAAATTCACAAAGGAGGTTTGTAGACAAACCTAGGTTTACGTGTGTCATATGACGTGTTTTGATGCGTTTCAGACTGAGGTTTGTCTGAATGTTGGTCTGAAACGCATCGAAACGTGTCATATGATGGAACTACTAAAGGTAGGCATACAATTCTATACTGAATAAGGTTTTATAAAAAGGTCAGGGATAATATGACAAACTGACATTTTGTGCATGCTAGACATCTAGTCTTACCTATCCAGCATATCCAGGGGTCCAGTGGAGAGGTCACTCAGGTTATGACCTTTGACCCGAGTGTTGCTAGAGGTTGCTAAGGATCCTGGTATCTGAAGGAGTAAGCCTTGACCTGGATGGATGTTGATATCAGGTGAAGCACTCTCTTTGGTTGGCGATGACGTGAGAGTAGAGTTATGTTGACTCATCCATCCTACTATTAAAAACAATCAAGGAGAGATTCACTGAGTCTACCGTAAAATATACAAACTGAATATGAATACAAATAAAGGTTTTGCATGGATACAGAATTATCAATACATCCACTTCCCTTTAAAGAAATCTTTGACACAACAAATATATTATCCATTCATGATTTCCTATCATAATTAACTGTTTACAAATCTGTCTAGTTTAAAGATTTTCATCAACAAAGTGCTGGTTAGCACAAAACTCTATGAAACATGATTTTCACGTCTTTACACTACATGAATATCTGTTATCCTGCATGGTTCTAATGAACTGTTCAACATGTGATTATCCAATGTTAACACTGAGAGAAACAATAGACTATGAGGACATATGCTATCCTGTCTTTTCCTGATGAATTCCTGAATGAAAGGGCTGTATAGTCAAACCTGTCTATAAAGGTTAGGCCACTCAAGGAAAACAGAAAAGGATGGACACTGTAAACAGGAGGCCTTTCTAGACAGGTTCTACAACACACATTTCTATTGCAAGGGAGACAGAGTACATGGCCACTATAGACAGGTGGTCTTTATAGAGAGGTGGCTACTATGACAGCTTTGACTGTATTTCCCTGTTTTGACACTATAGGATCCGGTATCAGTGATCACAATCATAAAGACCACTCTTAATCCCTCTCACCAATATCTTGATCCATCAATAGGTCTGTCCTCATCAGCTCGAGATTGCCAAATAGCCCGCTATTTCTGATTTCTGAAATAATCCTGAAGTTACAAATCGCGTCTTCAACAGCTTGAGACTTGACCTCGAAACTTGAAACTTGAGAAATTAGCTCAGAGAAGACGCACCAGACAAATAGCGGGATATTTGAAGACTAGCTCAAGATATCTTGAGATGATTATCTCTACCAAATATCCCGCCAATTGCAACTTTGAGCTGATGAGGACGCAAATTAACTGGATAATTTGCAATCGGAATAGTTAAAATAGTGGGATATTTGGCAATTCAAGCTGATGAAGACAGGCCTTTTGAAACAATTGAGATACTGATGAGGCTACCCTTGGTAAACGAGGTAAACAAGACAATGTTGTCATTATCATCATCCACTCACCAATATCTTGTTCTATCTTTGTATCCTGATGGTCATCAGTCATCATCTCTAGGAACAGACCGGCATCTGACTGGTCTACTCCCATCCACCCTGATTCCATCTCACCTTCTCCTCCTCCAAATCCATTGTTTCTCTCATGATTTCTACTCGACCGCGGAGGTGTAGCAGTCGACTTTCCTTGCGACATCCCAACTCCATTGGCCACCCTTGTATGGGGTGTTGCATGGAGTCTCTGGTCTAAGCCATTGCTGTGACCGGTACGATGCATCTGCATACTTGGCTGGTCGTCTGTATGATGGTGAGCCATCTGGAGATTTGACGTATAGATATCCTGGTAGACAGTACTCTGTGACATCTCACTGTTGGTAGGGGTAGATGGAGCAGCGTCTAGAGGGTAGAAGGATGCTTCATGCGGAGCCCCCTCATCTTCCGATTCTCCTTGCTTGTGAAGATACAGACGTTGGATTGCCTGTCGAGCCTCCTCCTGGGCACGCTTCAATAGCTCTGAATGCTGACCTAACAAAATCACAAAGCATTTGAAAATATTAAATCTAGATAATTTGTATCTTAAAGTAAACCTCACCCCAAGAAACAACTTCAGTTATTCTGAGAGATTTACTGTATTATTACCTAAAATCTATGAGATTCCCCGCAAAAGTGTATACGAGATAGATAAAAACAAGATATGCTAAGCAAAATAAAATTTCTCAACGGCATCGCTATTTTCTTGATAACTTGACATGCTACATGTATGCAAAATCTATCAAGTATACATTCAAGTATCATTCTCAGCTATGATTTCCCATCATAAAAAAATTGTATACTAAAAAAAAAAATGTAAAAACTATTACCTCTCATAATCACTACTCTCATCATCATTATTCACAAATCTGCATTTTTTTTTTTTTTTTTAAATGTTTCAGCTAAATTTCATACTTGGTCCAGTACAATTTATTTTTTAGCCTAGACTCCAATACATTGAAAATCATGTTATGATCATACCTTCCATACTTGAGTGAGGACCATTTGCACTCCTGACCTTTGGCCCTTGATTGTCATGACCTCTGACCCCTTCTCTAGCGTAGACTCTTTCACCAGTCACTTGTCCATTCATGTTGATAGGAGTTTTAGGAGAGGCTTCCAGTGAGCTGACCATCATCACTGCCTCGTTGCATTGTGATTGAAGGAAATGCTGCAGCTTACTAACAATGCCAAACCTGCAAGGAAATACATAGTATTTGATATACCATTTATACAATTGTATTATAGCTTTGTATGTAATTAGCTTCAATGCATTTAACATCCCAAATCTGTTTGTTTATTCTATGTACCCAAACAGTGTTTTTCATATGTTTGTAGGTATTAGTTTAATGAATTCCTAACATAAAAGATATGTACATAAGCTTACCAGTAACTCTTCATGCGAACTGCTATGATAGTATCAGATGTAGGAATCCAACAAAATAACTCATCTGGAGCCCAGAGGCATGATGTCCATATAATTATCACGCATTAAATATTTACACAAAATTTTCTTCCATAGGTGTCGAAACGCTTGAAGGAAATTAAGTGACCACGCCCGCGAGGCCTCGACGAAACGTGTCAAAACAAAAATGCGCTTGAAATGAAAACTCCTCCTCGGATAGCACAAGCGATGAATGTTTTACAATGCAAGATGCTATCCAATGGATTAAATCTACCGGTATATGAGAAATCCTCTTGGTAATAATTGCAGCTGATAAAACATAATGTAGTGCAGATGAGTTGTATATACAGTTGGGTGTGACTAGCAGAAAAATCTTGTTTCCAGGGTGAAATCCTTCTACTAAGATGGTGCATATCGGAATGAATCTAGAAAATTGTGTCATCTGCTTATTTCTAGACTCTTGATTGGCCAGTTGTTGCCATGGTACAATAACATCTACTAGGGTGCAGTAGAGAAGGTGTTTCAACAACAGGTGAGCTTGCATGATTTATATTCTATTAAGACGCAATGTTGAGTAGGCTGACCAGCAGTGAACAAAAGAGATGATTTCAAAATGAATTGCTGGTCTGTTGATTATGAAAGGCAATTGATGGTTGTGTAGTAAAATCAGCTGACAATTTTGAACAAATTGTGATGAAGTGCAAATGTTTTTAGAATTGATGATAAAATGTCACTTCATGTTCAAAGGTAGCAGGCTTGATGAGCATTCTTGCTATTTTCTGGTTCCTTTTATACATTTTTGTTATTATACTTTTTTTAATGTGTTTATTCAAGTTCAAAACTAGTCTAGTTCCTGAAAACTTGAGGTACACTTTCAATCAGAAACCGAAATGATAATGATGTCTCCAGTGCTCACCTTTGCTGCTGCAGTTTCTCAATCTTTGTGGTTAGTTTAAGAATCTCTTGTTGACATTCCGCCAACCTAGAATAGAATGAGAACATCATAAATCAAGGTCACCAACTTCATAGATTCCTTAGGACAATACCATTGTTTTGATGTACTGTATGGAAGGTATTATCGAGTCATGCAGGATTGTGATTTAAAACAAATGTTTTTTATTAACATGCCAACCCCGGATTTGTGGTTATGAAAGATCATAAATTCTCACATAATCAAACAATACTTAAGGGTACAAGTGAGATAAAATGAATCTCAGAATAGCGGCCTAGGTAATCTTCACCCATTTAAATCTACAGAAATGTGAGGTAATTGCATTTAATATGATCACATGATATGGTAGTATGAATGCTAACCTGGTTTGATATTGTTGTTGTTTATCAGCCCATCTTTGTTCTCTCTGCATCATCTCTCTCTGATGAACGTCTTTCTGTACTCGGAGCTCCTCCATGTGTCTTCCGCTCATCTTAGAGATCTGTTTCCTCTGACCGTCTCGAAGCATCTCCTCCATCTCCTCCGCTTCTCTCTTCATCTTCTCCACCGCCTCGCTCGTCCTTGTTCCTTCTCTGTCCTGTATCTCAGCCTCTTGTTTCTGGAGCTTGGCTTCCCACCGAGCCTTCTCCACACTCAACTCAAGACTTGACTTCTCCTTCATATGGAAAATAAATAAATGGACTCTGATAAACATATACTCTGCACAGTATTGGACTGTCCTGTGCATTGGCGGTATTGGGTATCTTTGCCTCTGATTTTAAACAAAATCATAGATTTAGCTCATGATGCAATCATAATTATAGACCTTTGTGTCAGAAATGAATCTCATGACTTTTACAAGCCAATCGCGTGTTTGATTATCAAGATATTTATGATTGGAATTCAAAATTTCAAAAACCGTTTTTCCAACGTTTTTTTATAACACTACAGTCTAGTGGGGAAAATGAGTATGGCAAAAATGGTCGCTCAAAGATTTTTTACTTTTTTGAAGGAATTCATGATCATTTCGAAGCACATTTGTTTAGGGCTTCAGTATTACAACATATGACAGACACTGAAGGGCAATGCATCTCTGATTTGGCATTGTTAAACGTTGCCTTTAAAGGGAGATGGTCTTCAGTTTCCATGTGCAGTAGGTCATAATTCTCTGACACCAGACTTGGTTGAAATCACCATTAATGGGTGTACAACTTTCACACACAGCAAACACATGGTCCCATCAAGAAATATCCCCTAGTCCCTCACAGAGTCTTTGGGTGAGGCAAATGTAAGATAATGATTTTTCCATATGGTGGAAAATACAGAGCATTACTTAAGGCCAGTTGGTCATAGAACTGGAGGCTAATCCTGGTGAATGGTGTCAAATTCCTCATGAGAGCCCATTAATATGCATCTTTCAAAATATATCAATATATACATTATACATGTATTATGAAAGCATCTTTTAACATTCAAAATTAGTATTGTGAAGTGAATCAGGAATGTACTAGTTTAGGGTTCTTTGGAAATTTCCATTCACACAATAAAATCATTATTGGACTCATACAATTCCTGTGATTACATGGATCTTCAATAGGAAGAGAATACTGAAGTAGAAATGATTACTATTCCATGTGATTAATATATTTGCCATTCTCTTCAATATTTTAGGAGAACACACATAGGAAAGAGGTTTTATATTTGTTTTATCTTTACCTAACTATCAGTACTACTCAATAAACCAATGCATTTGTTGTTGACTTACCTTCTCCCTATGAGCATTGTCTTTGTCTTTCCTACTTTCATCAGCCTCTCTTCTCATCTTGATGAGATCTTTGTTGAGTTCATCCACCGTCCTCTTCTCTTCCTGGAGCAATCTCTGCATCTCATCGAAGGATGCGGCCCGCTCCATCTCTAAGGAGGATACCTTCTGCTCCAGCTCAACCTCTCTCTGCTTCCATTCTTCTCTTTCCTATCAAATCAATTCACCAAATTCATCTTGAAACATTCGGTCAAGTTGAAAACTGAAAATATTGCCAATCAGTAATAAAATACATGCTAGACATGTCACACTGTACTACTTGCTCCCTCTATGTAGAAAACAATGCATAATAGGTGACCATTGGTCCCCCGTGATCCTCTTTTTCTTATGTTATTTGAGAGCTGAGTTGATGAGATAACCACCTGTCCAGTGACCTTGCACGGTGGTCTAATCCCTCCTATAAACTAACACAGATAAGCTTTAAGATAAAAAATAAAAAAAAACAAAGATGAAATGATTCTTAAAATGCTATCCCTAAAAATCAAGTCAGATTAATCTCTATCAATTCACTATTTTAATTGGCATCACTGTTCAGGCAGAGTTCTATAGATATATGAAAAAGGTCAAGGTATATCAAAATCAATAATTATTAAGCTGAGTGAAGTTTATCAATAAAAAATATATATTTTTAATACACCAGTGACAAGATGCATGGTGAGACAGATGAGGCTAAATCATAAATACAAACTGAATGCTTCTGCTACTTATGTTTCATTCATCTGTACGAATAAGTGTATCTCAATAGTCTGAATTCAAATTGCATATAACAACACTTAATATCTGCAATTTGTATCGAGGCACTGAAAGGTACTATGTCCCATTTGCAGGCCCAAAAAATGAAAAAGTTAAATTCCAACTGCATTTGAAAGATAATACTAATTTAGAACTTCCCTAAAAAAGGTGGGGCTTGAAAATGTCTTCAAGTGGGAAAATAACGACTATTAGTTGTCAAATCGACTTTTGGGCTATAGAGCCCAAAAGTAATAGTCTTGATTTTCAGACAATTGTACCGAATGGTCATACGTTTTATGCTGCGCAAAGATTCAATCAGTTTAATCTTGGCCATCACAAGAAGTGGGTTATTGATGTAGACAAATGCTCATGTACCCTTTACAACTCTTTTGATGTATGTTATTACCAAAGAAGAAAAAAAGCCAGTCAGTCACTCAATAGTGTCTGACAGTGAAGTCTAGCAAGGACATACATGACATATTCATAATTCCTGCAAAGTTCTACAGCATTTGAGGTTGGCTGCAAAAGGGACATAGTACCTTTAAAGGTAATACAAAGTTTTGGTATGGGGTCATCAATTTGGTTCAAATGAACATATTGGAAGCATATGCGACCCTACAATATTCAGTGATCATTGTCGCGGTTGAAATTGAGTCTAAAGTTATGAAATTGTAAATAATAAACTCTTTATGTTGTATAGCTCCCTCTCAAGGTCAAGACATTAATTAAGCTATAAAACAATGTTTCTTGACTAAAATCGACCGATTAGCTATTCCCGTTTGGAAATTATATATCACAACTACATATTCTGAGATTTTCATGGTCGCAGCTACCATCGTACGGCCGTAGACGCTAATTGAAATGTATATCAAAATTTACAGTAAGCACCGGTAAATTTTTATATTCAATTTTTTTCAAAAGCAGAAGTGTTTTAGGGGCTAAATTTTCTACTGCTTATATTACATCCACAGGGGTATCCAAATACATCAAAATTGTAAAGAATCACTATCCACCCATTTTCAAAATTTCCCAAAACTATGTATTACCTTGAAGTATAAAATAATTTAGATTACGAAAATGGCCATTGAACCATGAATCACACTCACCGATGCCAGAGTGGCTTGAACTTTTTTGAGCTGCCGTTCTGCCTTTAGACAATCCTCCCCCATAGATTCCATCTGTTTATTGGTAAGCTGTGTCATCCTTTGAGCTTCCTCCCATCTCTTCCCATTTTCTGCTTGATGTTGTTTTAACTGATAGATAAAAGATTAAAGCAAGGGCAAAATATAAGAATCAGGGCATTCATATATTTCGAATTAAATTTGCATTCCTTGAAAAATTAAGCAACACAACCCAGAGGAGCCATCAATTACATCCTATTTTTAATTAATTATGCATTTCATAATATATCTGAATAACAGGTCGTCAATCCTTCATATGCATCCCAATTTCAAAACAAATACATGTAGCAATAATCATTTTTCAGGTGACAAATCTCACACATTTATTAATTTCCTTGTATAGGGGACCAATTTATGCTTCTTCGATTGCACTTCATCCTCTTTAAAAGTGTATAATTGTGATGTATTTTCAGGGCCCCATGGAAGACCAACTTTTGTTGAATGGGCTCCCCTGGTGAAATATAATAAATTAATGAAATAATAAATCACCCAAACTTGTGATAAGAAGGAAAGTAAGCTATCTAATGCTACAGTCACAAACGATAATTTTGTACGAATATCCGTTTTTACATTGTCTTCCTGAATTTTGATTGTCTGAAAAACGTTTGTACGGCGTTCGTAACAGTTCTTATTTGCATTTGTGACCGAGGCTTTACCTGATCTCTGAAAGCTCTCTCCGATTGCTTGAAGTCTTCACAGTTCTGCCTACTGTCAACCAATTCTTTGTTTTGTTCCCTGATGATCTAGTCATAACCAAGCAAAGAATATAATAGTTCAGGGGAGTGTTTCACAAAGACTAAGATTAACTTTAAGTTGGACTTGACTATGGCAGGCCATTCATGCCAGTTTGCTCTCACCATTATGATCTTTAGATAATATTTTTTCCTTCAATAATGAATTATCCGAAAATGTAAATTCTGTAGAGTTGTGGCCATGATTTGTACATCTCTTGAGAGACCAATGCCAGTAAATGATGAGAGAAAATAGTGGCATGAACAGCCTGCCATAGTTAAGTCCAACTTAAAGGGATCGTTTAACAATGTTAAATCTGAGATACACGGCCCTACGTGTTATCAGTGTCTGTGATATGGTGTAATATTGAAGCCTTAAAAAAAATTGCGCTTCAAAATGATCAAGAAGTGCCTCAAAAAAGTAAATATATTTTTTCAATAGTGACAATAATATTAGGAACTTATTTACTACCATGGAAATGAAACAATATGAATGGGGTGTGGTAATTGATTTGGCATGGGCATAGCTAGCCCAGAGGGAGGTTATGTCTTCAGAAGTTTTCCTGATTGGTCAGGAATTTAATGGAGCTCCAAATAGTTCCCTGACCCTCCCAATAGGGATTGTATGCGGAATGGGACTATTCCAAGCTCCATAATTTGACCATGACCACTCTCTCTCTCTCTCTCTCTCTCTCTCTCTCTCTCTCTCTCTCACTATTCTTACTACCTCTCTCAATGCGTTTGATCCTCTCACCATACCATACTGAAAACCAAGTCAATGCACGATAAAACCCTGCTACAGAATTCATTACAACTTATCAAATGTACATGTAAGTATACTCACAATCTTCTGTTTCTCAATCTTTTGTAATAATGCATCATTAGTTGCCTTCAGCTTATCCACCATTGTGACCTTCTCTTGTTCTCTCTGCTTCAAACTAGCAGAAACTTTAGCCATTGTCTGAAGAAAAAAATACAAAGAATCAGTTTATCAAGTACTTCAATCCTTAACATGACACAGACTTCAGCAAACTTCAACATAAACGTAATAAACTTCTATCTCTGGTTCAAACTAGCATAGACTCTAACTGTTATCCATTTTTTTTTAAAATATGAAAGTGTAGTTTATTAAGATTCAAAGTTCTCTCGTTCTCTCTGCTTAGACTTTAGCCATTCGAAATAAACTAAATTCAAAGATGAAGTATGTCAAAGATGTAGTATATCATCAAGTCAAGGCAATATGTTGCTAGGTAGGACAAGCCATAATCTTTGTCATACCTAGCAACAATCAATGTATGCAATTCACATTCTGACCTCTGACATACCTTATTTACACAGGTGGATAATATAATTTGTAACATGGCACTCAACAAAGATATATGCATCAAATTTGATTGCGTTACGAAAATGGTCCATTCATAAGACTAAAGTAAACAATATGCCTAAAGTATTTGCATTTTAGCTTTCAGTAAAACAAGTTCATCTGCCGCCCACAAATTGTCTGTTTTACTCATTTTAGCTTATTAAATACTAAATGGAATATTAAAGCAGAAAAACATTTTCAATATCATCCAGGCCCTGTTTCATTAAACTAGTTATCAATAACAAGTTACAATAACTGTTATAAGCTACCGAAATAGTGGCTTCTGATTGGCTGAGAGCAGATTTGTCATAGAACTAAAGCATTTGTTTCTTAAAACAAGTTTCATGAAACAGGGCCCTGACACTGCTATTCTCTAAATCAATGATATTCACCTTGTCAAGTTGTGCAATCATATTATCTTTCTTCTTCTCGGTAGCTTGAGCTACGGCTAAGAGTTGCTGAGTCTCGAGGATCCTACCCTGTAAAGTTGCTATCTGATCCTCACAGTGCTGAAGAAAGGAAAAAGACATGAAACATTTCTGACGTTACTCAAGCTGTTTGCTCTCCCCATTTACTGGAATTGGTCTCTCAAGGGACGTACAAATCATGGTCACAAATCTACAGAAGTTACATTTTTTGATAATTCATTATTGAAGGAAATAATATTATCTAAAGATCATAATGGTGAGAGCAAACAGTGGCATGAATGGCCCGCCATAGTTAAGTCCGATTTAAAATCGATCTTAGTCTTTGTGAAACACTCCCCTGGTCTCCATTTCTCTCCTAGGTTAATGGTCTCCATTTCTCTCCTACATGTAGGTATGGAGTGGCAATTATAGATTAATGCCTTGCCAAAATACATTCCATGTTGCAACAGTTTCTGGTTTGACTTACCCTTCTCCTACATCTCTCCCTCTCTAATCCTTCCCTTAGCACCCGGTTTTCTTTAGAGATGCTGCTGTCAACCCCACTGACCCCTGACCTTTGACTCGAGGTCACATGAGACGGTTGGTAGGATGCCAAGCCGCTATCTGAACCGGGTCTCATCGATGATGGAGAAATACCTTGGAAAAGCTGAGCCCTGGGTTTTGAATCAGAAAAAAGCAAATAAGATTAAGAGAAAGCCCAATAAATGAATGGCAAATAAGAGAAAGGCAAAATTTGAAGAAAAAACATACAATGTTCTAAAAATTAGTACTCTTTTTTGGACAATTTTTGAACTACAATTCTGAAAATGTTAACTTGCAGGTTTATAAAAGTGATGCTAATTGTCATACCACCATGCATGGAATACATGCTCAGCATCAGTGCTTGCGCATGTGCTGTCTCTTTTACATGTATGCTTATGCAGCCAGCAAATGCTAACATTTAATGACTTGTCCTAATGTTGGTTTGTTATGACAATAATCATCTTTTACCTAAATAAAAAGATGACATAGTTTTCAGAATACTACCCCAGGTATCATGAAGTGACTGAGTCTCTTGGTGACAATATTGTTAAACATACTAAAAGTAAGATATTTGGATGTGTTATGGGCAATAAGAGCAAGTAGAAGCATAGAAATAATAACATCAACTTTATATGGTCGTGTTCGTTTGCAAGTTTGAAAACTTGTCTAAAATACAAATGGACGGAACTCCAATAAAGGGTTTGTTAGCTCGTTGGATGACCAACAGAGGATGGTATCAAGAAGCAGCTGAGTATCATAAGAACTCTGAGAGTGTTTCTCCTGATGTTATGGCACTCACCCTAAGAGAGAGTCTGTTTTGGTACTCTCTGTGGATTCCCTCTTATTACGCTCCTTGTTGAGCATCAGCAATTCAGACAAACTTTCATCTTGAGATAATCCTGACCACAAAAGAAAAAGTAAGAATGTTATTATGAATAATACTGAAAAATTAGCATTCAAAAGTACAGTATTAAATGAATGATGGCTGCACTTGCTTCTCGAGTAACAATTTTACTTCTTGTAATGAACTGATTGATAGATATGTAATAAAATCTTTGTATTTCTGTCTGCTCTATATATAATTCAGTCTGAAATTTTTTTGTTTTCTTTTCACATTGGCTCTTCCAATATTTTATACATAAAATAACTAGCTTCATCAGATGCAGTACGGTATATGCTTATTCGTTCATTTCCATAGCTCTTTGAGGAGTTTTCTAAACTAAAGCTACAATCTGTGCATCAGTTTTGTTCATGATCTCTTCTTGCAATGTATCACAGTGCATACTGTAGATACTCGTGACAGGAATTATATTTCTTGACTATTATGTCAGACTTTTACTTGCAATAAGTTGAACAGTAAATAATATGCATACACAATTTTGATTTTTTTAATCAGCAACAAAATACTCCTAATGTACAGTGCAATTCACCTTAAGCAAATAAAGAGTGAGTTTCCATACTTACCAGGGGAAGTTATCATGTTGCTTAAATTTTGTCTCAAATTCTCAATTTCAGCGAGTTCAGGTGGAATGGATTGATGATTCTGTAAAACCAGAGAAAAAAAGAACAGTGAGTGTTTTAGGATCCAAACAAAGTTAACAAACATCTCTGTTGGGTAAATGAGGCTATAACAAAAGTTTGACAGTCATTCAAGCAAAATCAGCAAACTTTGGGGAACTTACACAAAAATTTCAATTATAAAATCCCATTTTTAAACTTTAACTCAATAACTACTCATAGGTTGTTCTTATTTTTTGCTTTGTTTGTTAATTTTTTTGTCATGTTTTTTTTTTGTTTTTTTTTTCTTCAAACAAACACTGAAACTTAAATGTTAGGCTTCCTGAGAGAAGTTTCAATTTTTGTAAAGAAATGTTTGGCTTGCACCCTGTAGATGCTCCATCTTGTAATTGAAAACAAGTCAGAAAAAAATCTAGGGACCATACATGATTTGAACCTGCCATCTACTGCTTGCTGGGCAGCGAATCTACCACCGGGCCATCAATGGTCCATGATACAGTCATGATGAACTGGAAACATTGACCTCAGCTCTCCTGACTCATTTTGACTTTCATCACAAACTGAATGTTGAATGATATTGATAGGGATTTACACAATCTTACAAGAAGTATTTACCTGAAAGTCTTTTGTGTAGCTTCCTTCTTGCAGACTGTATAGCTCTACCCTTGGGCTTGATGACAATGGTTGTTGCCGTGACGACAGTACTCCAGGACCGGATTCTTCATCTTGACCTTGAGAAGTCCTTGACATACCTGAAGCAGTTAAGCTGCTGTCTTGGTAATGAGGAGGCCTATCATCCGATGAATAGATGCTGCTAAATGCATCTTGTGGTGATTGTTGTTCAACATCAATCCTATCACTATGAGCATTGTAACGATATGTCGATCCATCTATACCAGACTTATCGGTCAAATCGATTGGCTTCTTACTTCCATTAGTTACTAAGCCTGCATGAGGGGTTGTGGATGACATAGACAACACATTTCCCCTACTGGTTCCAGACGATACATGAGACCTGTGACTATCCTTCACAAACAAAGATCTATTAACCAACGTTTCTGAAGTAGTAGCAATGCGAACATTAGTCTTTGTCATCTGGCTACGATGATCATAGTGATGTTTATTCTCACTTAGCCCTCTCTGTTCCTGGATTGATCTCCAGTCCTTTTCACCCGTCGTGGGTTCCGATACCGACATCCTGAAATGGGAGTCCGATAGTGCACCTGCTAAAACAGGTTCATGCTTAGCAGTCCCAACAGGTGAGAACAACGAGTCTCCTTGTGTCGTCCTGGTGTCTGTTTGTTGGTGTGTCCTGGACAGCTGTGAAGACACACCTTTAGGGCTTCCTGCAGGAGATGCATTGGTGCTGCTTCCCAAAGGCTCAATGCCACTCATCGTCTCTGTATTGATGCTGTGTAAGCTTGCATCCTGGATACCATCTAGAGCACTCTTGATTCTTGCCAGGTTCATTCTGTAGGGAAACAACAAACAAGTAGTCTGTATCACTCACAATTTTATACTTACTTGATAATAATAGCGATTAGTTTAAAGCATACTGATTCGCACGCACATAGTTCGCTGAATGTATCGAAATCTCTGCATGCCCACCTTTCTACACTCATCAATATCACCTTAAAGTAAACAAATTTCAAGTTTGCAATGCAAAAACAGTTTTTCTCATGTACACTGCTTATTTGCATTTCCGGCAGAATCAACAATGCAAACTCGTAAGAAGTAGCATGGCAAACACTGGTCAACGTACATGTATATACGACTTCTTTTGGACTACTGAACATATTAAGGAATGGACTTGATTAACGGTCAGCGCGCCCTAGCGTTCAAGAAACAGACTGAAGTTCTCCTCATGCTTCGGTTTTGCGTACATTGCACGCACATGAATACTGCGGTCGGTCATCCGTAGTCATAGTATACCCGATTGACCCCAAGTCAGGCCACAGGAAAGACACGTAGTCTCGTCATGCTACACCCCCTTTAAAGAAGTTGCCCAATATCTGATGGGTGGCTGTCTATCTCGCATGCGCAGATAGCCTGCCGCTCGTTCGTTTGTCTCTTTTCTTTGTGTTTCCTGCTGCTGACCCGTCTTAAAACCAATCGCAAAGATAAACAAATGCGATGTATTAAATTAGGTGTTGAGGTCTCCTTTCATTTTGAAAAAAAGTCATGAAATTAGAAAATGGAGGAACATAGCTGAAGACGGTTGGCCCAATCGGTAAAAGTAGGCTCAAAGTCAAACTCAAATATTTGCACACAAAAAACAAGGAATTTTCATCAAAAAAAATTGTGAGTTCCATTTGTTAGACGTTAGACGTCTAGATCTAGACCCTAGATCTAGAGTAAAGGAGGGGGTTTTCGGCCACTTAAGAAAAAATCCTATTTTTTGGACTCTTTACTTCCTATTTATTATCATTTCCTGTTCAAATCATGAAGCAAATATTATTATTATTTAAACAAAAAAAGAATCCCAGAAAAAAATCACGAATTGCCATGACAATATTCATTTCAATTTTCACTGTTTCGGAGGCAGTTATCAGCATAGCGAACCAGTTTTCGGGCGCATGTACAAAGTCAATAGGAAGCGCGCGAATACGCGCGCCATGCTTTTCCGTGCTGATCTATAGCACTAGCGGGCGGAGCAGGTATCCCACGCCGGAGCTCCCCCTTGCCGGAGCTTCCCGGTGTTTGCCATGCCGAAAACTAGCTCTGCGGTGATCGGAAATTGGAATCTGAATTAGATCTAGACAGAGATATCGTGTTGCGCTGTCCAGCTGCATTGATTTAATACATGTGATGAGATACTTTTGAGCTTGCGACTCACACAAAATCGGGCTCTAAATCTGAAAAATACTTGAAATAAAGCTCATTTTATGGTATCCATATTTCTTACAGACACGCGTAAGATACTCAATTTTTTAGATTCGGGTAGCGGGACCGCCGATTACGTCGCTAAAATGTGATATTTTAGGATATATTTTCCATTGCAAAAAGGTTCTTCAGTGACTCTGGCATGGTATGGTATGTGTGGGATATGTGCTATTGTGCGATGTATTTGAAAGGGATTTTACCATGCATCCAACGGATCGGCCGAAAACTGGTGATGGTCGATTACCCCTTCCTTTAGTACTCTACACACACAACAGCTCTAAGTTAGGCCTATAGATTCTAGATCTATTGTTATCAATATCACCATTCATTGTCCATTGATTTATTAAGTTTTTTATAAACCCATTTGAAAGTATTATACAGCAGGCTTTACAAAATTGCGTTAATTTGCTGCTGTACAGTGCACTGTTGCCTTTTTTAATACACAGCCAGTCAGCGCCAGTAATGCTGCTACATTGCTAGTGATAAGTGTATTCATCAGCGCATCGCAGTGTGTGTGGGCACGCTCAGCTCCGGGAAGGCGATGGCAGGTGCAAAGGATGCAAAGCCATCTGCCACGGGGGCTTGACTGAAAAGAGTCGAACAACTCGAAGGCGCTAGGCGGAGAAGCAATTTAACAACACAAAATGAAACACAAACAAACCACAGACAGTGCAGAGTAAACTCGAATATCATACCCAATCAGTAATGATACGAATCATCAAAATTAGAAGAAAATGAATAAATGTACTACCTTTTCGTGCCTTCTTACTGGATTTATTTTCAAAAGTAGGTTCACAATAACAAAGCCATTGAGCATGCGCAGCAAGGCAATCAGTCACCGGTTACCGGTCGCGCATGTCGCTCCGATCCGGTGTGTAGATGGTTTGATATTCGATGTTTGAACGGAGCCGGGGGTTTCGGGGGTTATAAATAACACATGCCTTTTCGGGCTTCTTCTTGGCTTTCTTGCCTGTAAGGCTTGTAAATGCATGTAAACAGAATGAGGGCAACTGACAATATGAGAAAATGAGATTACAAGAAATAAGGGAGCATAAAAAGTGCCTGACGGCTAAGACCATGATGCACGCGGGCAAGAGAAACAGTCAACTGACTCAGGATCAAGGAAGATAAGGGCAGCACCAAAATAAATGTATAGCTTAATCATTGCCCCACTCCATGGGTATAAAGGCTAAGTCCACTCCAAAAAATAACATGCTTTTAATAGACGCAGAAAAATAAGAGAAACAGAGCCACACAAAAATGAGTAAAATCGAATAATACGGATTTTGTTATTTTTTAATATGAAAAATTATGGAACAAATTGCCAAGTACTAGGCCATTTTCGTAATGTAACCAAATTTAATACATCCGTCTTTGTGAAGTACCTCAATTATCAATACAAATCATTTCATTCACCTGATAAGAATAATATTATTTCAATAACCAGAAGAATGCAAACTGCATAAAGTGTTGCTAGGTAGCTAGGTCAAGCCATGCCATAATGTGTTCCTATCTGGCAATAATTAAGTTACTCCCGGCAATAACTAATGTATGCAGTTCGGATTATGTTGAAGCGGGAATGGTCGCTGAGCATAATGAAATGATAATAAAAACCGATCACCACTTACCGACTTTATGCGCTTAGGGATACCCAGGCATGAATCCTCCGAAATTAAATAAAAATGCTCCAAATATTATAAATCACCACAGATAATATCACAACACTATACTCAATGATACTTGGCTAGCACAAGCGATGTTTAGGATTGTTCTCTGAGTTGAATGCAGAGAAATGTAAAGGCCTATGAAGATTCTCCAAATGAGATGAAGGAGGTTGGAATTGAAGTAGAAGAAATTTGTTTCAAGTGTAATATGCAGGAAACAAATTAGACGTGTACAGATGAGAAAACTTTGAGAAGTGTAGTTATGAAGAGAGAAGTGCGGATTATAAAGAAAATGTTGTTCTGTTCCTTCTTGCGAAGCAGGATGAAAATAACAAGGAGAGTAATTGATGCCACTTATGGGAGGTATAAGAGTGAGTCACTGGTGATAATTGCAGTGTACAGGGTCATTGCGCCATTAAGTTGACACTTGTTGATAAATATATAGGAGTGGTAGTGCCGATATAATTATCAGAGGGCAATGTCCTCCCAAATCAGTTTTGCAAAATAAAGAAATGAAATTGAGAAATGAAGAAGGATGAAATGAGGAAAATACTACAATGTCTATTGAAATATCAGGTGAATGAGATATTATTTGTGCATTAAATTTGGTTACATTACGAAAATGGCCTAATTAGTTATCAGTTTGTGACGTCATTGCTTCACTTTTTATCAATTGCTTTATATATTTTTATTCCATTAAATTCACCATGCCTTTGCCCAGGTATCATATTGCGATTTCACAAAATGTTTTATGAACTTTGAAGAATTGATAATTTTCTGAATATTGTATATTCATAAATGACATTGATATTTTTAAATCAAATAGTTTATCAAAATTTACATTTTTTCATGATTTAATTGAACAAAATTAGTCTATATTACTGCATCCACACAAAAGCATATTACACTGTACTATCAACATAACTTGGATGCTGGGGGAATAAGATTCTTAGGGGGAAATGGGGAATTTGTATTATATCAATATAAAGGGAAAATAGTGGACAGCGAGGCAATGACGTCACATATTCATGAGTGAGTTGCCAATTTGTCTTGTGATTTTCAAGGTTTTTCATGTCATTAAAAATTCAGATTGATTCAATTTTATTCGCCAAGCTTCCAACATACAACAATATACAAGGATTGGAGATCAAATTAGGTTAGCTTGAACAGGGTAACACACAAAAGCTCGAGAGCTTATTTCCAGTGGGGTCCCCGACAGACATGTACACATTATTATATGAGCCCCTTCCCCCTTTTCAAAATTCCCCTTTTTACATCTGAGAAATACCCCTATCAAATTCTGATTGGTGCACTTTTCCTAAAACAGATGCCCTATTTCCATTCTCACAAGTGCCTTTTTTAAAATTGATATTGAGTGCCCCTTTTTATAGGTGCAAGAAGTGCCTCATTTTCACTTCTGATAATTGCCCGTTATCTTTTGACACGTGCACCTTCTTTAGAGCTCACTCGCATTTATGACTATCAAAGAAAGGTTCAGTATCTCTTTATTAGACTGCGCTTAGCACTCATTAGGGTTTTTGTTTTGTTTTTGTCCTCTTTATGTAATTTTTCGCACTGCAACCTCACAAATCTTACAATTTGATATCATTCCTGGTAATGTTATCACAATCATGACGATGTAGGGCTATATATTTACCAATTTAAAAAAAATGTCCCCTTTTTTTTTCTCTCCAGAAAATGCCCTTTTTTGGAGCTCCCCCCCCCCCCCCCATTTAAGAAGAAGCTTTGCTGCTTCTGCACTGTTGCCTTAACTTGCCTATAAAGTTGGAATAATTTTATTTAACTCTATTCATGAAATGATTAGGACAATAATTACAGTTTATTCTTGAAAGATAAAGTTTCATCTTCTCAGGACGTTATTTTTCAATCCCATTAGAGTGATCACTGACGTTTTGAGAAAATATAAACCTTATCCATGAACTCTATACAACATAGTTTTCTCACATTCATTTCAAGAAAAAAAGGGAAAGAATAATTATTCCAAACGTTATACACAACAGTGGGTCTGATGTTGATCTCGATAATATATATGACTGAGGTATAAAAACTCGACTTCCTATTATATACATGTGTCATGTTGTAACTTGCTCTTCTTTACCACATCTCCCGCTCAGGAGATTATTAATTCTGACTTATTAAACAAATAAATAAAACCTCTGTGAAAAAAAACTCACGATAGGCTATACTCTGCCATTAATGCGAATTTGGGAATAATATTCTCTAGAGTCCTTCAAACTGTAACATTATCTACTTTTCGGAAGAATCAATAACTGATTGACTTCAATCTACTAGAACAGGGACATAAACTCGTTTTTTTTTTTTTTTTTTAATAAATTGAGAAAAACTGTATGGATGGCATCTAATTGGAAATCTATGAGAAGCAATTTTAAAGAGGAATTAATCCTTGCGATGAGGTCCAGATGTTTAATATAGTCAGAATGTAATGGATTCTATTATAGGTTGTAGTCGAGTGGATTAAGCAGTTGACTTGAAATTCGAAGGTCGTGGCTCGATCCCCGACACGGCACTAATGTCCTTTGGCAAGACATTAATCTTCATTGCCACTCTCCAACCAGGAGTTAAATGGGTACCCGGGGATCAGGGGAAAGTTAATATGGTTAGATGAGCAAGGGGCGCTGGTAAAATAACGACTGGCCGGAATGCTCCACAGGGAGTTGACAATGTGCATACATTGTGTGCGGGTAAGCCTGAATCCGTTGACCGGGGTATTGATCCTGTATGTACTGCGCCTAGAAACAAAGTATTAGGCGCATCATAAATGTGAGCTATTATTATAATAGGTAACGACGACCGACTAAGGGCGCGTTCATGCTTGATTTTGAAGGCAGAATGAGCGATTTGTAACGCTCATCGTAAACGCTCATCGTAATCGCAGTTCCACGGTGCACTGTTCATGCTCACTTCTCCAGGCAATTCACCTTGGGTGGCCTTCAGCTGGATTCGCAAACCTGTGTGCGCATGCTACGTAGACCCACTAGAGGTCAGTGCGTTAACCCCATTTAAACGCGTTTACAAATTGTAAACGCATCTTTTTGTGAGTTTACGATCGGCGATCGTGATCGCCGTTTTTCGGTGATTCTACAAAAGTGAGCATGAACGCAAGCGTGTTTTAAACTAAACGCGTAACAGATGCCTGATTCTGGCCGTCAAAATCAAGCATGAACGCGCCCTAACACTTTTCTCCAGTATTAAAGTAAAAAACACAAATAATCTTAACAAAAACTAAAGAAAACTGACCAAAAATCAAAACGAAACTAAACCAAAAAAAACAAAAAAAAAACAAAAACGAGACAAACAATTGCTTACACTTTTTTCAAGTGAGCAAAAACCATAGGCCTAAGCAAATGAAGTCTAAACGAAAACGAAACAAAAGTGACCTAAAAGAAAAGAAATTAAAAAAAAAAAAAAAAAAAAAACAGCAAGAGGAATATGTTGTTAGGGCCATTTTTCTTCGACAGTATAGAATTTGCTTTAGAGGCTTTATAATTAAAACTTATTGTACATGTATTTTCCATAAAGAGTAATGTTCGTATGTTCAAATTAGATTTTGCAGTGTTGCAATACGTAAGGGTGGTGACGCAGTGGCATATCCAGACCTTCGCTAAAGCAGGGGGCACACCATCTTAGCTTATTGAAATCCATAGAGTCATAAGGAAGTCTTTTAGGGCCCTGGTTTTCGTAAACTATGATGGGGGACGGTCTTATTGCTCTCCTTGACCCTCCTTCGAAAATATGCTAATGGGGGCTAGTCAAAGTAGGTGGACCGTACGTGCCTCCAGCTTATCATCCCTACCCCTCCCCTTTTGTTTTTGAATTGCCACATGAACCATTATAACACAACACCACAGAGCTGCAATATAATTCCCAACATATAAAATTGAAGGAGATGATTTTCATTGACAGAAAGTTCAGTCGGTTTGAAGCTTCTGTGCGTAGAGGGCGCAAGAGTAATTTTTTTTTTTAAAAAGAGAGATTTGATCAAGATTTGATTAGGTGTTGGGGACAACTTAGTGTAACTGTAAAACACGAGTAGTCTTGAAAATATCACACATGTTTTGATTCTAACGGTTATTTGCAGAATATTTGATGCTAAATGGCATCAAGTTTTACTGAATGACGAAAAGTCGAAAGAACATTAGGCTTAGCCCCCCCCCCCCCCCCCCCGATACACACATAACAATAAAAGATCTGGGAACCAATTTCTTTCTCCCTCATTCTTCTCTTCATTTTATATTGCCTTTATTAGCAGCAATAAACAAAAGGAAATTTGTTACCATGCATGGATGAAAGAGAAAGTAATTAAGTTGTATAAGAGAGAGGGAGAGACAGAGAGAGAGAGAGACAGAGACAGAGACAGAGACAGAGACAGAGAGAGAGAAAGTGATAGGAGGTAAGTAACGTAAGAAGTTCCCTTCGGTATCATCCTAACATTTCGTAAAACTTGTATGAGTTTTAAATGTAAAACGTGATTTCCAGATCATCCAGACCAATTATGCAACATTCCCATTAACGGCAAAATTATAACTTTGAAATCAATACATTATTGTGAACCCCTGACATAGTTACAACTGTCTTGAATAAAATCGCGCAATGTTGTCCTGCGCTCAATTGTGACGTAATGGATGCGGTGACGCGCATGCGTCATGATCTGCATAGTTACGAAGTTATCTTTTCATCATTATTGCTGTAAGCGCTCATAGCTATTACATCGATTTAGTAGCATTTCTTCTGAATATATCAGAATATTTGTCTTTGATTTGAATCTTTCATCATGAGTGACAAACGTATATAAGTCATATCTAGATCTAGAAAACACGTCGATATCAATCATACAACTAGAATAATTTATAGCGATATGTTTTCTTTTCATGATTTAGGTTAAAAATCAATATCATATGCAACGTCCAAATAATCTTGCGTTTTTTTTTTTTTTTTTTTTTTTTTTTTTACAGACAGGGGGTCTTTAAAAGACAAGCATTAGTTTTTGATAGACTCCTCCTCCTGTACGTTTCATATATTTAGTCTAGATCATTTAAATTGCTTCGATATTATAACACCATGATTGTACAGTGTATACAAGTACGTTTCGGTGTGTATCATGACTTCTCATAGTGATTGTATGTATAGATTGTTACATTCTCATTAATCCTGTTGTCATGTATTTAGAAAAAATATACAAAAACATATTTAGGAATTAAATAAGCTTTGATAAAGAAACACATTTCTCATTATTTTATCCAAAATGTTGAAATTTCCAATAAAGCGGATGTAGAAAATAGTTTGCATAATAATAAAAGTCGTATTGAAATCCTTGAAACTTAAATAGTTGATGTTTGCTGTTAATTTTTGATACAAAATGATCAACATAATGATGTATATCATATACAGTGTCATTATATAAGTCGTCTTCTCCGATTCTGTTTTTCATTATTCAGCAAATCGAGTAGTTCCTAGATTTCAGCACGAGTTGGCAGATGCTCTTGCCTTCAGTGAGTATGTCTATCTGAATGACATTCAGACATCCAAATTGACGAGTTTGTCCAGAGGAGGAGGCGCTGAAGGCAGAGGACGAGGAGATGAAGACAGAGGAGAAGGAGCTGGAGACAGAGGAGGAGGAGCTGAAGGCAGAGGAGGAGGAGATGAAGACAGAGGAGAAGGAGCTGGAGACAGAGGAGGAGGCGCTGAAGGCAGAGGACGAGGAGATGAAGACAGGAGAAGGAGCTGGAGACAGAGGAGGAGGTGCTGAAGGCAGAGGAGGAGGAGTTGAAGGCAGAGGAGGAGGCGCTGAAGGCAGAGGAGGAGGAGTTGAAGGCAGAGGAGGAGGAGATGAAGACAGAGGAGGAGGAGTTGAAGGCAGAGGATGAGGAGATGAAGACAGAGGAGGAGGAGTTGAAGGCAGAGGAGGAGGAGATGAAGACGTGGACGAGGAGTTGAAGGCAGAGGATGAGGCGCTGAAGGCAGAGGAGGAGGAGTTGAAGGCAGAGGAGGAGGAGTTGAAGGCAGAGGAGGAGGAGATGAAGACGAGGACGAGGAGTTGAAGGCAGAGGATGAGGCGCTGAAGGCAGAGGAGGAGGAGATGAAGACATCGGAGGAGGAGATGAAGACAGAGGAGGAGGAGTTGAAGGCAGAGGAGGAGGAGATGAAGACGAGGACGAGGAGTTGAAGGCAGAGGAGGAGGAGCTGAAGGCAGAGGAGGAGGAGTTGAAGGCAGAGGAGGAGGAGATGAAGACGAGGACGAGGAGTACTGTTGAAGGCAGAGGATGAGGCGCTGAAGGCAGAGGAGGAGTAGCTGGAGGCAGAGGAGGAGGAGATGAAGTCAGAGGAGGAGGCGCTGAAGGCAGAGGACGAGGAGTTGAAGGCAGAGGACGAGGCGCTGAAGGCAGAGGACGAGGAGCTGAAGGCAGAGGAGGAGGAGATGAAGGCAGAGGACGAGGAGCTGGAGGCAGAGGAGGAGGAGATGAAGACAGAGGAGGAGGAGTTGAAGGCAGAGGAGGAGGAGATGAAGACGAGGACGAGGAGTCCTGTTGAAGGCAGAGGATGAGGCGCTGAAGGCAGAGGAGGAGGCGCTGAAGGCAGAGGACGAGGAGTTGAAGGCAGAGGAGGAGGGGCTGAAGGCAGAGGACGAGGAGCTGAAGGCAGAGGAGGAGGAGCTGAAGGCAGAGGACGAGGAGATGAAGGCAGAGGACGAGGAGCTGGAGGCAGAGGAGGAGGAGATGAAGGCAGAGGACGAGGAGCTGAAGGCAGAGGACGAGGAGCTGGAGGCAGAGGAGAAGATGAAGGCAGAGGAGGAGGAGCTGAAGGCAGAGGACGAGGAGGAGTTGAAGGCAGAGGAGGAGGAGGAGTTGAAGGCAGAGGAGGAGGAGTTGAAGGCAGAGGACGAGGAGCTGGAGGGAGAGGAAGTGGAGATAACGGCATAGGAGGAGGAGGTGAAGACAGAGAAGGAGGCGCTGAAGGCAGAGGACGAGGAGCTGGAGGCAGAGGAGGAGGAGATGAAGGCAGAGGAGGAGGCGCTGAAGGCAGAGGAGGAGGAGTTGAAGACAGAGGGGGAGGAGATGAAGACATCGGAGGAGGAGATGAAGAAGACAGAGGAGGAGGAGTTGAAGGCAGAGGAGGAGGAGATGAAAACGAGGACGAGGAGTTGAAGGCAGAGGAGGAGGAGCTGAAGGCAGAGGAGGAGGAGTTGAAGGCAGAGGAGGAGGAGATGAAGACGAGGACGAGGAGTACTGTTGAAGGCAGAGGATGAGGCGCTGAAGGCAGAGGAGGAGTAGCTGGAGGCAGAGGAGGAGGAGATGAAGTCAGAGGAGGAGGAGATGAAGGCAGAGGAGGAGGAGATGAAGGCTAAGGAGGAGGCGCTGAAGGCAGAGGACGAGGAGTTGAAGACAGAGGAGGAGGCGCTGAAGGTAGAGGACGAGGAGCTGAAGGCAGAGGAGGAGGAGCTGAAGGCAGAGGAGGAGGAGATGAAGGCAGAGGACGAGGAGCTGGAGGCAGAGGAGGAGGAGATGAAGACAGAGGAGGAGGAGATGAAGGCAGAGGACGAGGAGCTGGAGGCAGAGGAGGAGGAGATGAAGTCAGAGGAGGAGGAGATGACGGCAGAGGAGGAGGAGATGAAGGCTGAGGAGGAGGCGCTGAAGGCAGAGGACGAGGAGTTGAAGGCAGAGGACGAGGCGCTGAAGGCAGAGGACGAGGAGCTGAAGGCAGAGGAGGAGGAGATGAAGGCAGAGGACGAGGAGCTGGAGGCAGAGGAGAAGATGAAGGCAGAGGAGGAGGAGCTGAAGGCAGAGGACGAGGAGGAGTTGAAGGCAGAGGAGGAGGAGTTGAAGGCAGAGGAGGAGGAGGAGGAGTTGAAGGCAGAGGAGGAGTTGAAGGCAGAGGACGAGGAGCTGGAGGCAGAGGAAGTGGAGATAACGGCATAGGAGGAGGAGGTGAAGACAGAGGAGGAGGCGCTGAAGGCAGAGGACGAGGAGCTGGAGGCAGAGGAGGAGGAGATGAAGGCAGAGGAGGAGGAGATGAAGGCTGAGGAGGAGGAGCTGAAAGCAGAGGAGGAGGAGGAGCCGAAGACAGAGGAGGAGGAGATGAAGACAGAGGAGGAGGAGATGAAGACAGAGGAGGAGGAGATGAAGGTAGAGGAGGAGGAGATGAAGGTTGAGGAGGAGGCGCTGAAGGCAGAGGAGGAGGAGTTGAAAACAGAGGGGGAGGAGATGAGGACATCGGAGGAGGAGATGAAGACAGAGGAGGAGGAGTTGAAGGCAGAGGAGGAGGAGATGAAGACGAGGACGAGGAATTGAAGGCAGAGGAGGAGGAGCTGAAGGCAGAGGAGGAGGAGTTGAAGGCAGAGGAGGAGGAGATGAAGACGAGGACGAGGAGTACTGTTGAAGGCAGAGGATGAGGCGCTGAAGGCAGAGGAGGAGTAGCTGGAGGCAGAGGAGGAGGAGATGAAGTCAGAGGAGGAGGAGATGAAGGCAGAGGAGGAGGAGATGAAGGCTAAGGAGGAGGCGCTGAAGGCAGAGGACGAGGAGTTGAAGACAGAGGAGGAGGCGCTGAAGGCAGAGGACGAGGAGCTGAAGGCAGAGGAGGAGGAGCTGAAGGCAGAGGAGGAGGAGATGAAGGCAGAGGACGAGGAGCTGGAGGCAGAGGAGGAGGAGATGAAGACAGAGGAGGAGGAGTTGAAGGCAGAGGAGGAGGAGATGAAGACGAGGACGAGGAGTCCTGTTGAAGGCAGAGGATGAGGCGCTGAAGGCAGAGGAGGAGTAGCTGGAGGCAGAGGAGGAGGATATGAAGTCAGAAGAGGAGGAGATGATGGCAGAGGAGAAGGAGAAGAAGGCTGAGGAGGAGGCGCTGAAGGCAGAGGACGAGGAGTTGAAGGCAGAGGAGGAGGCGCTGAAGGCAGAGTAGGAGGAGCTGAAGGCAGAGGAGGAGGAGCTGAAGGCAGAGGAGGAGGAGATGAAGGCAGAGGACGAGGAGCTGGAGGCAGAGGAGGAGGAGATGAAGGCAGAGGAGGAGGAGCTGGAGGCAGAGGACGAGGAGATGAAGGCAGAGGACGAGGAGCTGGAGGCAGAGGAGGAGGAGATGAAGGCAGAGGATGAGGCGCTGAAGGCAGAGGAGGAGGAGATGAAGTCAGAGGAGGAGGAGATGAAGGCAGAGGAGGAGGAGCTGGAGGCAGAGGAGGAGGAGATGAAGACAGAGGAGGAGGAGATGAAGTCATAGGAGGAGGAGGAGATGAATGCAGAGGACGAGGAGCTGGAGGCAGAGGAGGAGGAGATGAAGACAGAGGAGGAGGAGATGAAGTCATAGGAGGAGTAGGAGATGAATGCAGAGGACGAGGAGCTGGAGGCAGAGGAGGAGGAGATGAAGACAGAGGAGGAGGAGATGAAGTCATAGGAGGAGGAGGAGATGAATGCAGAGGACGAGGAGCTGGAGGCAGAGGAGGAGGAGATGAAGACAGAGGAGGAGGAGATGAAGTCATAGGAGGAGGAGGAGATGAATGCAGAGGACGAGGCGCTGGAGGCAGAGGAGGAGGAGATGAAGACAGAGGAGGAGGAGATGAAGTCATAGGAGGAGGAGGAGATGAATGCAGAGGACGAGGAGCTGGAGGCAGAGGAGGAGGAGATGAAGACAGAGGAGGAGGAGATGAAGGCAGAGGACGAGGAGCTGGAGGCAGAGGAGGAGGAGATGAAGACAGAGGAGGAGGAGATGAAGTCATAGGAGGAGGAGGAGATGAATGCAGAGGAGGAGGAGAAAAAGGTTGAGGAGGAGGAGGTGGAGGAGGAGATGAAGGCTGACTAGGAGGGGCTGAAGGCTGAGGAGAAGGAGATAACGGCAGAGGAGGAAGAGGAGGAGGTGAAGGCAGGGGAAGAGGAGATGAAGGCTGAGGAAGAGCAGGTGATGAAGACAGAAGAGGAAGAGATACAGGCTGAAGAGGAGGAGATGAAGGCGGTGGAGGAGCTGGCGATCACTTTGGTTGCGGAGGCAAAGAACATTAACGAATTGAAAGAGGTGTTGGCGGTGATACAAGAGGCCGCAGACTTCAAAGAGGAAAGAATGAAGATAGGAAGAAGGAGAGTGATCAAGATAACAAAGATCAGGCTGTTGTAACTGGAAGGAGACGGAAGTGGGGGAAACTGTTTTGCTGTTTTGGTTGGAGGAGGGACAGCAGGCGTTTTCAGACTTGAATGGAGGCTTATTATGTCATGATCGTTGAAATTGTATATGAAATTGTAAATAAAATTGTAAATACAAATTAACTTGAGGTCTGTTTGAAATAATTCGACCCACTTTTGAAAGAAGGGGAGGGGAGAGACATAGAGGGAGAGAGGGGAGGGAGAGAGAGAGAGAGAGAGAGAGAGAGGGGGGGGGGGGGGAGTGGGGTAGGGACTGAGACAGGCGCGGATCCAGGATTTCTTAGGGGAGGGGGCCCAACTTTTTTTTTTGCTCCCGAAAATTTGTTAAATCGCACCGGCCGAAAAGTCGTGGGGGGGGGGGGGGGGGGGTAGTGAGCACATTTTTTTTTGGCCCTCGGAAATTAAAAAATTTGCACCCACCCACCTTGGGCGCCAGGGGGGGGGGGCATCCCCCCAAAAGGTAAAAAATCACGTGTTTTACACATTTTTTTCCCAGGGGGGGGGGGGGGGCGGATCCGCCACTGGACTCAGAACAGGCTTGGACACTTTGTAATTAATGTGCCAGTACGAGCAAAATAATTTGTCTCTCTTTTATAACATCAAAACATGCACCCCCCTCTGTCGGTGAGTAGTCAAATTATGTAGGGTGGAGGAGATAGAGGAGGAACAGAAGAGAAGACCAAAAAGAACAATAATAGAGAGAAGAAGAAGAAGGGAAAATAATAAAAAGGAGAGGTTAGAGAAGACGGAAGAGGTTAAAGAAGAGGAATTAAAAGAATTGCCCCGAAAACTTCAGAGTTTCTAAAAAAAAAAAAAGGTTATTCAGATTGAGGGATGAATGTATATATTTTTTTCTTTTAATTTGTTTGTCTCGAAAAAAAAATTGTGGGTGATTGACGTTCTTTTTACAGAATGAAAGCTTAATCCTTAACAAAACAAACAAATAAACAAACAAACTATACAGCTAATAAAACAGTGGCAATTTGCTCTTGCACTCTAATAGAAAACTCTCTTATTTTCTTAAATCAGCTTATGGTAAAAAAAAAAAAAAAACATTACCTTTCATGAAAATAGTCACTTTCATTTTTCACTAAAAAATCAAATGGAAAAAAGAAATTAAGAGATGCCTTCTCTATGAAGTCAATACATCAAAATAAAAGGTTGGATGCTTGTGAATGGTATGCCAACGATGTTGCTCCGAGACAGTACCATTATTTAAAAGAGGGGAGTAAGAGGCTAACTCATTGACAAAATTATAACAACTGCATAACTTCAATCAATATTGTCCCCTTCTAACATGCAAGAGAAATAAAATAAAACACTTGTTTAAAATAAATAACATTACATTTGCTATAATCCAGAAATATCTAAACAATTAAAAAAAAATGTCTCGACATAAATCGTGTCATCTCAATTACACAACCTCTATTCATAACCATGCATCGCCATTCTGCAATATTTTTCACACACACCATAGCTGAATGAAATTAGCGACAGGTAAAGTTCGCTGTTTGACCTCTCTACACAATTTCATGCATATGATATCGTTATGGATTTTGAGACAATCATGGAGGATTTTGTTGGTGTAGAAGTTCGAGATGCGAATGGAGCTTTTTACAAGGTGATTATATTTTTCCCGACAGCGTATGATTCATGGATTTTCCTTTCTGTAATGTCAAAATGTATCTATTTGCAATAAACTTCACGATTTTGTTAAGTGATTATTGTGTGGATGAGTGTCGAGTCGGGAGCGAACACTCAACAATGTCTCTCCGCTCCGATTGTGTCTGTGAGCTGTGGCATGCAATCCACACATTTCAATACCAGTGCAGTGCTGCATCATTGCAATGTATTGCCAATGCAAGGGGCTGTGTGCTAGTGCATAGTGCAAGCCAAGAGTGAGTTTTGTGCTGAATGCAATTGCAAGCATCTCTCCATGGTCCCGTTACATGAAATCTTGATGATATTGATGATAATGCTTTAGTGATTTTGAGACGACAAGAGATGTGGGCATTACACTGCAGTAAATGTCTAAAACATGTTTGGGTCTGAACGATTTTTCAATTTTCCCTTTTGACATTTTGGATTGTTTTTCACCAAATATGATTGGATAGTTGAAAAAAATCAACTAGTCTAGACCCCTCTACTCAGAAGAACACATTTCAAATTTCAAGACTCGCTGATGTTTCTATCAAAAGATATGGACCCCCCCCCCCCCCCCACAAATCTAGGGAATATTCATTCAATTTTTGTCCAGAACGGACGAAAAAGAGGTACACGCCAAGTTATAAATTGTGCTCAACAGATGCATCACGCGACAGGCAAAGCGTAGGCGGGTTGCTTAGCTGCAGCTCTACTTGAGAAGGATCTGGAAACTCCACCTCCGTTGTCTTCATTGTGCAACCACATGCCAATTGAATACACAAACACACACGCGCAATCCGAATACATACACACACGCTTTCCGAACTCACTGCGCACACGCAGTATATAGCGTGTAAAAAGGACTTGCAACACAGGTAGCACGCACAAAGTTTGTTTCGCGCCGCTGAACGTTATGTGAGCTACCGAGCGTGAAATATATATGCATGTGCAGATTCTACGCGCTGTCACCAAACTCACTATGTATGGATTTGGGCTGAGAAGAGTCACGCTTCCCTACTTAGCTGATTCAAGAAGCAGGGGAAGGGTATTTTCAAACTGTAATCGCATCTGATCCCTCAGGACTAGCAACAAAATAAGCATATACATGTAGGTGGTAGATATATTCCTTACGTTTGAACTACTTATCCCTCGGGTCAGTTCACAAAAGTGGGAAATCTCGGAGCTACGATGGAAACAATGTTTAACGTCGATCTGGCGCTGCTCAGTGGCTGCCGGGCTCACGATTGGGCTCACAATTGGGCAAAAAGAATTTCCGTTTCGGTTCAATAAAATTTGGAGTGGACTAAAAGATTATTATTATTATTATTATTATTATTATTATTATTATTATTATTATTATTATTATTATCATTATTAAATCGCTGTTTTGATCAAGATATTTTTAGAGTTCGGAGTCGACCCTTTTGGAGCATATGGTGAAGAACCTACTCTTTCATATGACACCTCATTTGTTGTGCATCGCCTTCAGGATCACAAGCGATAAAGGTGTGAATCACAATTTGGTAATAAAAACATTGACCAATTTTGCATGAGCGCTCAATGCAGGTAGACTGCATAGGGATGCATGCAATTGTTATGGGTAGGCGTTTAGCACACAAAACAGAGTGCATGCCATGATCAGACACCCTAATAAAACTATGCTGTCTATGAATGATATCACACGTTAATAAAGGGCAAATCAACCTTCAGCTTTGACCTTTGTGATACATTCATTTGTATACTAATAATTGTATGATAGCAGAACATTAAGAGAAACAGAACTGCGAAATAGATCTTAAAAAGTTCGAAATAAATCATACCAACAAGAGAGTTATGAATGTTTGAAACATGAGTTCAATAAATCTACATAGAGACTTAGAAAGTAGAATGCCAATCTCATTTTGGCAATTTAGTCAGTGGATTGTGACGCAGACACGGATAACTCTTCCATCTACCGTCTACAAAAATATGATTAATTTCTGGGCTAAACTTTAAAATACCCCAACAACATGAACATCCATCATCTAGGGTAAGGGTTACTAGCATCAGGGCATATTTAGAATAGGCCACTCAAATCTCCTTCGCTGATAATAGCGATTGGAGAAAAAAAACCTAACGAAAAGTGACCACAACCGCCAGTTTGGGCAAAAAAGTGGCCAAAATGATGTCGTGAGTAATTTTGGCCAAAAGGTGGCCAAAAGGTGGCCAAAATGATGTTGTGAGTAGGGTCAGTAAGAGTGATAGTTAAAGGAACTTGGTAACATTGTTCAGATGAGAGAAAATTGTGCTAAGGTAGTGACTCCAATGCTAGACGTACAATATAATCTGGAAGTTTGAGTGAAAACAAACTATTATTAATGATGAAAACTGAGAAAAACAGATCTAATCGATTCCTTAATTCTCCCAACCATATTATTACAATTTAATTACATTTTAGGCGAATTTAAATCGTCACAAAGCAATGAATTGGCTCTACATTATATACCATTCCAGACATTTAAGTGTTGACAGATTTTTAAAAGTCTGTCTTATGCTTTATTTTCATGGAAAAAAGGTTGGGAAAATCAAAAATGGTTGGGAGAATTCACTGTTGGAGGGTGTCGCACAGTGACGCCTTCAAAGAAAACCATAAATATCTTTGTATTTTGATAGTTTTTCATGATTTGTTGCATGTTAGAGAGTTAGTGCAGTAGAAGGAATATAACAAGTAACATTTTATACACAAATTACAGTTTTTTCATGAACTTTCAATAATGTTACCAAGTCACTCAAAAGGATCAGCTCAAAATTTTACCCCAGACGATATTCAAAACTTCCCCACCCAATATTCTAGTTAAATCCCCTTATCTCATAGGGTATAACAATTCCACAGCTGATATTTTTGTTGACTTTTTCCCATAATGCATCACATGAAATCTTCCTGCTGCCCACCCCCCCCCCCTCCACTTGCAGAGAACGTGTACATGTATATGCAGTTTACAGCATTAAGAAAAGCTTTTGATGGATCTACAGTAACTTCAGTTCCCAATCCAAGGCAAATTGGCAAGTCTGATTTAAAATTAAATGCATGTACTTCAATCAAATAAACGCCAACCTTTTCCAAAGATGCCTCATATTTCTATAGATTCACAATCGACCCTTTAGTCCCACAATAAGGCCTTAGGTGTGGGATGATAGTTTCACACCTTGTTATTGTTATCAATGGTCAACGATGACTTGTTATACAGCCAATGGAGGCATGAGGACCCAGTTGTAAAGCAGTGGTCTCGTAACTGGAGGTCCCGGGTTCAAAACCAAGCCGATGTGGTAGTGCCCTTTGGTAAGACTTTAATCCTTATTACCAAGTCCCACGGAGAAGACTTGAAGCCATCAATCCCTTAGTTGCTTGCTTACAAGCTCATGCTTTCTTCTCTATCAGGTAAAACAAACAAACCAACCGACCAATCAACCAATGAATTTATACTTGGCCGCGAAGTTTTTATGAAGGTATCCGATTCTAAATTACTTCCTTTGATTAAAAACTCCTTTACAGATCAAATAATAAAAATGTGTTAATGTCAACTTGTCAAGTGATATTTGTACAGATATTGTAAAGAAGCTTAACCAGCCACAATTTCTATTTCGCTTCTTCAAATATTGGGTGTTTCCCCGGCGTCATAACCCAACATACTTTCCTATGTAAATGTTGGCCTATGCCTACATGTTTGATTGGGGGGTTGGGTGTCCGGACACTTAACAAACTTACAGACCTTCTCTTTTGCCCTCATATTTAATTTAAGTATCCATCAGATAGCACAATCATCATTTGTTCTTTATAGAATTGTCCAACAATTTTTAAAGAAAAGTTATAAAATACTGGATGTAAACTTCTTCAAATAGCTGTTTGAAGATTGTTTGCCGGATACACAACCCGTTTGGACACACAACGTTTGGGCACACATGTATGTGTAGATGCATACAATACAATAGACTGTACAGTACATTCAATTCATTTTTCATACTGTTTGTGACTTGTACCTGAAATTGCCAGAGTCGAAAGTGATAGCCCAAGATCAAAAAGTTTGACTGTAGTCACCACAAGAACACTGCATGGATTCATTGATTGTGGATTGACCATAGGTAGTGATAATATGAAGGTGTGAAACCATTACCCCACGTCCAAGGTCAAGGTGTGGGAACACAGTTTGGAGTGTGAATAGAAATATGATGTGTCATTGAAATGGTGTTCAGTTTAATATACATGCATGCATTGTGATGCACATGTATGCAACTATGCATTTAAATAGATGGTTGGATTATATGGCATTTGCATGATGCTCCTGTAGTACCAGCCTGGAGCTAGAGAAATATACTCAAAGACAAGATTCTGACTATTTTCACTTAGACTATTTTTGTTAGTCTTTGCATGTGTGCTGACACTACTAATTCACAAGATTCCCCACACATTCAGTTTCCCTCATAAGTATTTTGGCACAAATAGTGTATCCAGTTTGTAAGCTGGCGGATGTTATGATAACTCCTGAACAGTCTAGGCAATGGACTTCAAGAAAGATGATGTGAGATGTAGTCCTTAAAATACAAACATCTTAGTCTACATGTATGTACACGTAGAAACATGTGCAGCGTTTTTACGAAACCATTAAGTACAAGTTTACCAACATCTCCTTTTAATACATGTTTCAATGGGTTGTTGGCGATCTTGTGCTTATGATGGTTTTGTGAAACAATACCCTGGAGATGGGATAACCAAGTAGTAGAGCAGTGTCCTCGTAACTAGGAGGTCCCGAGTTACAGACCAAGTCGGATGCACTTGTGCCCTTAGGTAAGGCCATCGGTTCCCTAGTTGATTATTTATGTGTAAATGTAAAAAGCATTTAAAAATGCTGTCTTATGCTACGGTCACAAAGGTTCGTACGAACGATAATTTCGTACGAATCTCCCTGTTTTTCCATTGTCTTCCCGAATTTCCATTGTCTG